TAAAAAAGCACATGTAGACTAAATTGATGTAGTGCAAGTAGACAGAAAAAGACTGTAAAGAAGCTCAGAGATCTTATTGGCGTTAAGTTTAAAAGCCCCCTTATCCCCCCCCCCCAAACGCCTACATTTCCCAAGACACATTTTGCTAGATAAAGAACATTCAGTAAAGGTTTACATCCATGTTGAGAGACCTTATCTGTCCTTGTACTAAGCACATTGTTAATCAGCTAAGCACCTTGTTAATATGGCTGCTTAGGACCCAACTCTTTACACTGAGGGGGCTTTATTGTCCCTTATAAACTATCTGACCAAAGATACTTGTAAAAATTGTGCTTAGTCCTTGACTCTTTAGTTGTGTACTAAAATATACCTATAGTGTCTGATTTGCTGAGAAAATGTATTCATTTTATTGTCTCTTTTTATAAGGTACTTTAACAAGATAATTTAATTATGTAAACTACACTAGTAAGTAATATGGTAGCAAGAATAAGTCATTTTATTTAATATATATCAAGTAAACAAAAAGCTTGAAATTAAGTAATTTATTTTATCTTGCAATACCACACAATTTTGTTAACAAAAATTTACATAATGCAGATAGATAAAATGTATGAAATTAAGTAGAAGTCATTTTGAGATATGTTACTTGCAGATTATGCAGCATGAAAACACCAACTGATTCAAATGCAACAATAGATCTAGATTGTTTGCATAACAGGAACATACATGCTCATTGCTGAGTATTCTGGAATAATTAAAATTTATTAAAAGGGTAGAGGGCAGAGGTAACTAATAAAATGGTATCTTGGAAATGTAAACACCAAAAACAGGGAAGCATAGGGGAATCATAGTTTATTTACCAAACCTGACTTTGAGTTTCTTTGTTTTTATTTATTTTTTTCACCATACCTGTACAGTCTTTTTTTTTTTAGTCAAGGCAAGAGTGTACCTGTCATTTTCTGTTATTTAGAGGCTTTTATAGACTCCAACTGTATTAGTAATTGTGATTCCAAATAGAAGCTTACTGAATTTGTGTCACTTGTGAATGGTATATTCAAAATACACAGCAGTGATAGATTGCTCTGTCATCTCTAGAGATGAGCGAATTATTCAAAAATTCGATTCGGCTGATTCGCCGAATTTGCGGAAGAAATTCGATTCGATGCGAATTTATTCGCTGCGAATTTAACTTATTAAAAGGGTTTCTAGGCTTCAGAGAGCCTTTATATTAGTGCAGAACACTGTACCTTTAATTTAAATGCCCTTGGAGTCTGCTGGGGAAGAGAAATAATACTGTCAGTCAGTATGACATGCAGATGAGTGCCGTCGATCTTAGAATCACCGCACACTTCACTCATTTGGGCAGTCACGGGGCACGACGAAGAAGAAGAAGAAGAAGAATGAAAAGAAGAAGAAGAAGAAATGAAAAGAAGAATGAAAAGAAGAAGAAGAAGAATGAAAAGAAGAAGAAGAAGAAGAATGAAAAGAAGAAGAAGAAGAAGAAGGAAAAGAAGAATGAAAAGAAGAAGAAGAAGAATGAAAAGAAGAAGAAGAAGAATGAAAAGAAGAATGAGAAGAAGAATGAAAAGAAGAATGAGAAGAAGAATGAAAAGAAGAATGAGAAGAAGAATGAAAAGAAGAAGAAGAAGAATGAAAAGAAGAAGAAGAAGAATGAAAAGAAGAAGAAGAAGAATGAAAAGAAGAATGAAAAGAAGAAGAAGAAGAATGAAAAGAAGAAGAATGAAAAGAAGAATGAAAAGAAGAAGAAGAAGAATGAACAGAAGAATGAAAAGAAGAAGAATGAAAAGAAGAAGAAGAAGAATGAAAAGAAGAAGAAGAATTATGAAAAGAAGAATGAGAAGAAGAATGAAAAGAAGAATGAAAAGAAGAATGAAAAGAAGAAGCAGAAGAATGAAAAGAAGAAGAAGAAGAATGAAAAGAAGAAGAAGAATGAAAAGAAGTAGAAGAAGAATGAAAAGAAGTAGAAGAAGAATGAAAAGAAGTAGAAGAAGAATGAAAAGAAGAATGAGAAGAAGAATGAAAAGAAGAATGAAAAGAAGAATGAAAAGAAGAATGAAAAGAAGAAGAAGAAGAATGAAAAGAAGAGGCAGAAGAATGAAAAGAAGAAGAAGAAGAATGAAAAGAAGTAGAAGAAGAATGAAAAGAAGAAGAAGAATGAAAAGAAGAAGAAGAATGAAAAGAAGAATGAAAAGAAGAAGAAGAAGAAGAATGAAAAGAAGAATGAAAAGAAGAAGAATGAAAAGAAGAAGAAGAAGAAGAATGAAAAGAAGAAGAAGAAGAATGAAAAGAAGAATGAAAAGAAGAAGAATGAAAAGAAGAAGAATGAAAAGAAGAATGAGAAGAAGAAGAAGAATGAAAAGAAGAAGAAGAAGAATGAAAAGAAGAATGAAAAGAAGAAGAAGAATGAAAAGAAGAATGAGAAGAATGAAAAGAAGAATGAAAAGAATAAGAAGAAGAATGAAAAGAAGAAGAAGAAAGAATGAAAAGAAGAATGAAAAGAAGAAGAAGAAGAATGAAAAGAAGAAGAAGAAGAATGAAAAGAAGAATGAAAAGAAGAAGAAGAATGAAAAGAAGAAGAAGAATGAAAAGAAGAATGAAAAGAAGAAGAATTCCATTCCAGCAAAAAGTGTATCTGCAGAGAGCTCCGCTATTTCTGACAGTTCTCTGACAGTTCCTTCACATTTACAGCGGTTGAAACATTGTATCTATTTGTTTCCGAATAAAAACATCTGTATCCTAAATGGAAACAAATAGATACAATGTTTCAACCGCTGTAAATGTGAAGGAACTGTCAGAGAACTGTCAGAAATAGCGGAGCTCTCTGCACGGACACTTTTTGCCGGCTGATCGGGAAAAAAATTCGGGTGCGAATCGAATTTTTCCTAATATTCGAAACGAATTCCACTTCGCCAAGTTCGATTCGCTCATCTCTAGTCATCTCCTCAACCAAAATTGTAAAGAATTGCTGTCCAGGTAAGTTACATTGTACAGTTTCAGGTGTGGTTAAACCAAATGTTGACATTTTCAGTAGCTATACATAACTGAAGTAATTGAAGAGTCAAAGTGAAAGTGTTTTTAATGTAAAAAACTGTAAGGTAATTTTCCAATAATTAGTGTTGCTCGAATATGCCTTTGTTCAACTTGGGGGCAGTTCGGTCTCCCAACAGTCATAGCTTACATTGACATTGCAAACGTTTTATAGGTCAACATTTTTTTGCATTTCTTTATTAGTACAGAACATCAGCAGCACCCAAAAAAATATGTCAGTCAAATTAAAAGTCTTTTCTTTTGTAGTTTGAGCCTTAACTGATGTCAATTTAGCAAACAGCGTTAGCTAGGCATTGGTCTACTTCCCATTAAAAACCCTATTTTAACATTCTTATTGGGCAAAAATGTTGTTTTTTTAGTAGTTGTAAAAACCAAAAGGAACTTCACAGTAAACATCTGTTACAGTACTCAAATATTAGAGCTTCAACCCTCACGGTTAGCTGGTTAAAAAGTAGCAGGTGGCGCACTATTTTCAAAGCATTACACTGCAATGCACAAATAGCTGTCTTGGTAGCAAAAAAAAAAAAAAAAAAAACATCAGTCCTTGGAAATTTATAAGAATACATTTTCAATTAGCCCACCCAAAATGTACTGAATTTGAATAGTAACACTGATGAAGCTTACCATTGCTGCTGTCCAAATGTTGGACCTCATGCGGGCTAATTGAAAAATAATACCTATAAAACCCGAAGGGTTGATGCTCTAAATTTTGCAATCAAGACAAGTCAAGTAGGTGGCCTCTGAATGTGTATTCCACAAAATGAAGATCTTTAACAGCTTCCTTTCCACCCATAAATAAAAGAGATCTCAGCTCACTAATGGCTAATGTAAAGAGTTATATGTCCATATTCCCAATGAAGTCTATGGCCAATAACCACTTCAGATAGCAGCCATCTCAGAGTAAGCCAGCTCTGTATAGAAAGGAAAAGGAAAAGGAGAGGCGCCTTTTGAGTGCAGTATGTAAAATTAATTTAATAATCCACAATGTAAAAACTCACAAAACATAGAAGTAAAACAAGCCCATCAGTGGGCCGTTGCTATGTCCTGTAGGAGTCCGTCCCATATGGAGCAGGCCGCTTGGGGAGATGACAAATCCCTGGTAGCTGGGGAGAGTAGAGTTCCCACAGTGTAGGGTGCACATCAGGCAGGTTCCCTGGGAGCAGGAGGCAGTGAGGAATCCAGGGCTCCACTGTCCAACCGGAACCGAAAGTGCCCATAACCAGCATGAACCGCAGCGGGGGCGGAAGTGACGTCACACAAGAAAAGAAACAGTAAACTGAAGGGAGGACACAGGCTACGTGCTTGGAGCTGTTCCTTCTAATGGCTGGTAGAAGGAGCAGTCAGCATGAGTGCGTAGCCTGTGTCCTCCTGGCCAGTAGAAGGAGCAGTCAGCTCCGAGCGCTTAGCCTGTGTCCTTGAGTTTTTACATTGTGGATTATTAAACTTCTTTTACATACTGCACTCAAAAGAAACCTCTCCTTTTCCTGTCCACCCATAGCCTATAAACAGCAGATGGGAAGCAGAGCAGATGCGGGCTAACGTATCTGTACGTCTGCACTAATTGGTGGCTTCTGGCGGCCCACAGAGAGTGCACCTGGGAGCCAGGCAATCTGTGTGTCATCTAGACGCAGCAGATCAAATGACTGCTGTGTCTGGGTGCGTCCTATCACAGCAATCACATAGTAAACAATGTAAACTGAAAGTAAGCATCAGTTATCTCTGCTCTCACTGTGAGAGTAGAGAGAACCATTGGTGCAGCTTTTAAGTGTACAGCAACCTGTCAGGCTGCATGTACAATCACAGACAGCAGTGCCAGCCACCCCAGTGTCCCTCATCACTGCCCCAGTGTAATGCCAATAAACAATGCAGACAGCCCTGTTCCAGTGCTCACAATAACACCACCATACACCATACCAATGTCCTGATCACCGCCATACCAGAATCCTGATCACCGCCATACCCCACACCAGTGCTATGATCAACATCATATGCCATACCAGCATCCTTATCACCGCCATATGCCATACCAGCCTTGTGATCACCGTTATATACCATACCAGCCCTGTGAACACTGCCATAAACCATACCAGCACCCTAATCACCACCATACCCCATACCAGCATCCTGATCACTGATATACCCCATACCAGCATTCTGATCATCCCATATGCCATACCATCACCCTGATCACAGCCATACCCCATACCAGCACCCTGATCACCTCCATACCCCGTACTAGTGTCCTGATCACTGCCATACCCCATACCAGCATCCTGATCACCAGCATAACCCATACCAGCTTCCTGACCACTCCATATGCCATACCAACCTCCTTATCACCACCATATCCACATACTGATCACTGCTATACCCCATAATAGCATTCTGATCACTGCCATACACTATACCAGCGTCCTAATCACTGGCATACATCATACCAGCATTTGGCATTATAGGATCTCAACTGATCAATTTTCAAATATATATCCCATAGTTTGTAGACTCTGTAACGTTCGCACAGACTAAATAACATACGCTGTTTATTTTACCCCAAAAATGTAGCAGAGAATACATTTTGGTCTACATTTATGAAGAAAGATTACTTACATGCAACATTTTATAACAAAAACTAAGCAAAAAAAGTCTCAAAAAAAGTATAAAAATGTACTATGGGTACAGTGTTGCATGACTGAGTAATTGTCACTCAAAGTGTAACAGTATTGAAAGCTCAAAATTCGCCTTTACTTGAAGGGGGTAAAAGTGTCCAAACTTAAAGTGGTTAAAGCTTTACATTTCAGAGTTGTAAAAATAACCTCTATTGTTTAATTTTTTATGTAGTTCTTTATGTATGTATTTATTTATTGATTTATCGTGTTTAGGGAGGTGGTTAGGAGGGATAGGTAAGCAGGAAGCAGGCTTTGCAAAAAATTGGCTAGGATGGCTCTGGAATTGGTGACCAGCACCATTCATTTAGAAATTAGAACTATTACAGATATGCTTTAGTAAAAGGAACAGGGGGTCAGCAGTAACTGCAGCAACACCACCACCTATCAGCAACAGTGTTTACTCTTAATTTTTTAATTTTGTAAATATATGCTCTGTCAGAGCCAAAAAATAACTTGTCTGCATACAGTAGTTTAATCTGTGGAAGACTCCAGGTATTATGGAAAGAAACTAGAATCCAATCATTAATTTCGATAATGTACAAGTGGTCACCATTCCCCGTGGAAAGGCAGATTCATTTATTGGATGAATCAAACCACTCCTCTAGCTGTCCTGAGCATCATCTTTGATAAAGTCCTTTCAGCAGGGCGTGCAAGCTGCTCTAGTGAATGTTTGGCTCAAGCTCCAGCCACTAACCAATCTTAAACATCCAATCATTCATGGGGTCTTTTTTCATTTCTGAGGGTGATGGTATTTGAACTGGAACTGACATACTCACTGACCAACATAGATAAAGTGTGCTTAGGAGTTCTACCTGGGGCCCGGCCTGCCCCATGCTGTCTGAAGAACATTTGCAACACTTCACTTTGATGTCCCGACTGATGGTAGTTCTGCAGATGTTGCTGCTGCATGCTTCTCTGTAATGGGTAGAGAACCTTCAATAGATAGCAGAGGCATCCCTGCCACCATCAGGAAAGGCTTTGTACGTGCACCCTAGAAACACCTCCTTGTAGTGATGCATTTGTCTTCCCTCTCATGTAGTGGGATGCTGCCAGCCATAGCAGATAATTGAGGATGAGAGGGTGGCAGAAGGCCCTTTGAGAGGTCTTCACCAAAAATGAAATAAACCTCAGGTCAGTGGCGGAAAACCAATGAAGCTGTCTCCAAAAATAAAAAAACATATTAGTATACAGTATTTTTAAATGTAACATTTTTAAAATGTAGCTTGTAATCAAGTATTTGTTCATACATGTATTATCAATTCTCTTGAGGAGAATTACAAAAAAACAGTAGGCAGATATCTCTACTTTCAGCATTATATTCAATATTGTACATTCTGTAGGAAATTCACAGGACCACCATATAACTGTAATTTTTATTAGTAGTTTCAATTTGCTTAGGAGCGGGCAGCAAATTACCCGTTACAATGTTCTGTGAAGGTGATAATTTATCCAGGCCATGGTATACCGAGAATGTGACACAGAGCCATTGCAGAGGCAGCTTAGTTAGCAGGAGGTGGGGGCAGTAGTAAGGAACTGAAAGACCTTTGGGAATAGACACTTCTGGAAGGTGTTCCCTTATGTTTTTGAAAGGTTAAATCTAGAAGACGAGCGAAAGTAAGTGTTTATGTAACTGGTCAACTGCAATGAACAATGTAAGGAATCAAGCTCATCCTTTGCACTTGAGCTCAACAGTCTTTATATTTTTGATACAGCAGTCTCTTGCATTTTTTTTAGAAGCCCAAACACATCAATATGTAAAGCCGAAGGGGTTAATCCAAACAATATCATCTTCATTCTACACTGTAAGTACAATTTGTCCATTTCTATGTCTGACCTTTAGATTCCCACATAACCCTGAATGAAGGACATTTGTAGAGAAATGATTTGAGTTATATAGTTTCACACATGAGTAACTTTTTCAGCTTCTTGGCATTTGAAGTTTTTTAATGTTTCTTTAGTGCCCTAGAGGATTTTATTACATTTGGGTCACTAGACTGGCAAAATGAATACAAATGAAAAACATATTATGCACTCTGCACAATATGGAGAACTTTCACTATCCAGTCAAGCTTTGAGCAGACGAGAGAAAAAAATGTACACAAACATTAATCAGGGAGTAAAACAAAATAAAATTCCCATATGTTTTTGGATCAGATATAATAAATAGAACACTAGAAAAGTAATTGTCTTTCAATAACAAAGCCTGATCAGAGTGGGGAATTTTAAAGTCTGCACACAGTGTTTGTAATCTATTTGTTGATTTGATTTGTTTACATAGAGCCAACACATTCGGCGGGAATTAAGAGGCACACAGAATTATTACTAGCAGTGTAATGTGCCATGCAAAGTCAAACAGCTTCATCTCGATTACTTATAAAATTCACTGATTTCCTGGCCCAATAAACTGATATTAAATAGAAGCAGATCAGTGGTGCCTGGTCCAGACTTGACATGAGCTAATACTATGCTTCCAACTTATATACTGTAGATGCTATTCATAATTTATAGGTGCAAATTTTTTCACTTCCTCCTCCTATGTTAAATACGCTTCCTGAAAAAAAGTGTGGTGTTCTGTTTAGATAAGAATCACACAGATTGCAAAATATAATCGCTACAGAGACTGCCCATATGTGTATAATAATTAATCATATAGTTAAATCTGAATTCCAGGCACAAAAACTTTCATTTAAATACTTGACCTCCAGAGGATTTATCCCACATTCCTGACCAGGCCATTTCTTGCGATAAGGCGCGGCGTTACTTTAACTGACAATTGTGTGGTCATGCGATGCTGCACCCAGATGAAATTTACGTCCTTTTTTTCCCACAAATAGAGCTTTCTTTTGGTGGTCTTTGATTTCCTCTGCATTTTTTATATGTTGCGTTATAAACAGAAGGAAGACCAACAATTTTGAGAAAAAAACTATATTTTTTACTTTTTGCTATAAAACATATCCAGTAAAAAAAATTTAAGAAAATTAAATTTCATCATAAAATGTATTCTGCTACATGTCTTTGCTAAAAAAAAAATCTGAATACATGTAAATTAATTGGTTTACTTGAAATTTATAGCGTTTACAAATGGTGGTAAAGATACTGGAATTTTTTTTTAGTAGTAATGGCGGCAATCATCGACTTATAGCGGGACTTCAAGATTGTGTTGGGCATTCTGACACTAAGGGGAACTGATTTGGTGTCACTGACATCCCCAGTGACACTAATACAGTGATCAAAGGGTTAACTGTGTGCTGTTTCACAGTATGCTGTGTGTGTGCTTTCCACTGTAAGCACACTGCTTTCTATGGCTTTGCCATGCAGACCCATACAAAGCAGTGTGCAGGAGCTGACAGGGGAGAAATCTGTGTTGTTTATACACAGGTCTCTTCCCCCATTGGAGATACTGAGTGATCACCAGGTGCCGGCAAGTAATTTCAGGCCCGGTGATTGACAGCTGAGGCAACGAATGGCAGTGCAGATAGTGTGCATGCGTTCCCCCTACCCGTAACTGCAAAATCACGTATATACATGATTTTGCACACCCGTACTGCCCTGTAGCAGTATTTCTGCTATAGGGCGTCGCGGAACCAAGACCAAAGTCATGTATGCAGTCATGCATCGCTGAAGTGTTTTGCGCTGATGGGCTTAATTGTATAGGTAGGAGTGGCAAGAGTAAAGGGATATTAATAAACTGCAAATAATTTAAAACCAGCAAAGGTGTTAACAATCATATCGTTATCCTCTTCTGACACATTTTGCCCTGTGATAGTACTTTATTGTAAATATTATAAACCCATTCACTAAACCCTAACATATGCTTTAGTGTTTTCAAAAGTGATTTTAATAGTTTGAAATCTGCAGCCTCTGTAAAACAATACCCTGTGATCCTGCCATAAATGTCCTTGTTTCGATACATTCTGTTATAGGGTGATAGGGCTTTGTCCCTTTGTCCACGTTCTGCCCCTGTATTGTCACCCTGTCACGTGGGCTTCTCAAGAAAATACAAGTAGCTATGTCAACACACATTACACATACTGTACATGATCTGCTGTTGTCAGCATTTGGAATCCCACCTTGCAAAATGCCGTACATTTCGTCGGTGGAGTGAATGCATGTAGACAGATAGTGAAAAAAAGTATCATATTTTAATGACAACTGCATTTAATACACAGAGCTTTAGCAAGCTAAATTGTTGATATAGGGTTTAAAACTACTTGTAAGTTACCCTTTATGAACACTGAGCTTTTTTGCTTAAAGACTCAACTATTAAAAAGGATACCAGCACATATATGGTTCTAGCAGCTGCCCACTACTTAAGAATGGTGCTTTTGGTAAAAACAAACATTGCAATTTTTACTATAAGCCTGGGTTCACACTTGTGCGGTGTGGTATATCGCATGTGATTCGCACAGGAACCGCACTGCGTTCCTACGCAAATCACATGTGAATTTTGTGCGGTGCGATTTGAGCCATACATTTTGCATGGCTCAAATCGTACCACATCCGCACCAAAAACGTGCAGGACCCTTTTTTTGGTCCGCACTAGAATCGTATTGCATGGGTATTCACACCTATGCGATTCGAGTCTGCACATCGCACCGTATTTTGTGGACCAATTTTGGGGTGTTGTTAACATACACACCTGCAGCGGTTCACATGAATGGGGTGTGATTGGGATGCGGTGTAGAATT